CAAGTCTATATATATATATATATATATATATATATATATATATAGGAGCGTTCAAATAAAAACCGGCCTCATTTGTGTAAACCGTGTAAACCAATCTCATCCATCCATTTTCTTGATCAATGGCCAAAATTAGTTTACTTTATTTTAGGAAATTAAATAAAAATATACATTAAAAATTTATTTTATTTCAACAGTAAGGGCATAAATGATAAACAAAATTTAATATTTGGTAACATCCTACTCGATCTTTCATGAATCTTTTTTCATGCAAAATTATTTTCTTCCAAGATTAGTTTATTTTTATGAATCTTTTTTCATACAAAATTATTTTCTTTCTTTCGTTCCTGGTTTGATGCATTAATTCCTTTAAGCCTTGCAATCTTAAAGATTCTAAAGCATATTACAATCTTTAAGATTCTGGAGCAGTTTCTTCATGTACTCGTTTCATCATTCAATTATTTCATGACGAACCAAACACATTATGCAACCGTTTCACTAGTCATGCTCAAGAACGCCATGAACTAGTTTCACTTTCATGAAACCTATTTCATGTACAGTAATTAATTTTATTTCACCACTGAGTTGATGGATTCATTCCTTTAAGCCTTACAATCTTCAAGATTCTGGAGCAGGTTACAATCTTCAAGATTCTGTAGCAGATTAAAATCATTTCCTCGTTTCATCATGCACTTAGTTCATGACGCATCAAATACAAAATGCACCGGTTTCATTTTCCTCTTTACCAACTAAATGGATCAACTACACAATCAATGCAACGTGTTCACCATGAAAATGTTCCGGTTCACATAATTTATTTGCAACATGAACCAGTTTCACGTTCATGAAACCTGTTTTATTTCTAGATTTTTTTTGTTCATCTACGATTTGATGATTTCATTATACAATTCAATTGTTTCATCAAGACCCGTTTGCTGATTCTTAAAGATTACAATATATGAACTTCAAATTTTTAATATTATAATATAATTAAATATTTAAATGCTACCATTTATACAATTTCATTTATTACGTTTCCTTAATTAAGATTTATTAATAACTTCCATATTTAATAGAAAATATTGTAAATGATTGAAACACCCTTATTGATTAATTTTAATTAGAAAAAAAATGGAATTTTCCTATTAATCGAAATTGGTTTACACGGTTTCTTCCCTTATTGATTAATTTTAATTAGAAAAAATGGAATTTTCCTATTGGTCGAAATTGGTTTACACGGTTTCTTAGAAATGCACGGTTTTCATTTGAACGTGCCCATATATATATATATATATATATATACACACACACACACACACACACGTCATTATTCCAAAATTCTTTATTGGTGACAAAATATGATTCAATGACACAGATAATTCACTTGTTTGAGACATTAGCTTCTCTAACATATGGGAGGTCCCATAAGAAAAATATTTAAGTTCTCTTTGATATATTCATACATGAAATGAAGATATCGAGAGTTTTTTCTATGTATTTTTTACATCTATAACGGTTATAATTTCATATGTAAATATATGAAAATACAAGTAATTTGATACTTAAAATATATTTATGGTATGTCAATAATCAACCAACATAAAATTGCTCTAGTTTATCGATGTCTAAAAAACTTGAAAACAAAAGGGGTAGTCTTAAATAACTAATATCGAGCAAGTGTTCACTTTCAACTTGTTTCCCCTTTTTTTTTTTGGCAAGAACGATATTCTCTTTGATTGTCCATTATCATTTGGATCAGTAGTTACATCTCTACACGAACGATTGAGAATTCTTGCCTGACCCTTTCCACAACCTTTGTCTACTGGTGCATAGTTGTCGTGTGTGTTGTAAATCAATGTGCTTAACTCACTGTACTTTGGAGTTATTACCACATCCAACCCTTTGCATTATGGCTTCGAGATCTTTGTTTGTTTTGGTATATCTAGCGTTCTTATAAGAAAAACAACCTTCTTATGTCTCTCCGCTGCTAGCATTAGGTTGATGAGTTTGTTAAAAGTTATATATATTTCAGCTTATAGTGGTTCATTAGTATGATTGTTGATATAATAAAGGTGGAAATGATGTTATGAATCACATCATCTTCTGTGAGTTCTTTGCCACAGAGATTGAGACGCATTTTAATACACAACGTTTTATGTTGAAATCAGTTACCTTCTTGTCATCAAGTAAGTGGGTTTTGTTTTCATGGTATTTCCTCTGGTACATGGTAAAACATCAAAATATAAGAGGTTGAAAGTGTAATTTCCAAAATTTATTCTAAAACCGAATTCATGATTAAATTATTAAACATTTTAATACTAAATTAAAACCATTGACATAAACAAACAAATAACAGTTAACTAGTCCAACTTGATCTATACTACCTTATAAACCAGATTTATCAAAAGTTTTAAAAACAATTTTTAATGCATAAAATACTATACATTTATGCACAAAGTCTTAAAAACAACTCATAATGCATTAAATACTACTACTTTATGCATTCAGACTTAAAATCTCTTAATCTACAATTAAAATAACATACAGTACAAGTTACCAATTCACATTATTACTTTTTCTTTTCATGTTCTCAATATACTTCTGACATCTTTCACTCATGTCTTCATCTTCTCATACCTCTATGTCTTCTCCCCATCCCCCAAGGTGAGATTCAAACTGATATTCACCACGATTTATTAAAAAATTCTTCCATTCATCTCTCATTCAATTGCTCTATAACTCTTGGTCTCGCTTTCGATCTCTTGATTCTTTGCTCTTGGTGTAAATCGAACACATTTGTGGAGTCGTTTAAGTATATTGGATTTTAAATATATTAGATTTTAAACTGTCATACAATTTTTTTCAATGATAGACTGTAATGGGAATCATAACTCCTATTTATTCAAATTGTATTAATATGTAAAGATCAAATGTAACTTATATCATCGTTAAATATTCTCTAATAAAACCAGTGAAACTTCAAAATTATTAAAATTCATAGCTCCCGCCACATTGCACGAGTACACAACTAGTATAATAACAATAGGCTAAAATAAAATCATATAAAGGAAGTCGTTTTAGTCAATTAAAACAATAATGGTTGAATAGATAAAAATAAGTTTTTAATCAATTATATTAGGTTTAAATTAATAAAAAAACTAAATATTAATAACTCCAAGTTTAGAATAGATAATCGTAATAAACCTAATAATAATCATTTTTTTTTCTTAAATTAATAATCCGTAAGTAGTTAATGGGTTCTAGTATGTGTCCTTGTAATTTTTAAGAATTGAAATCAGGGTGTAGATCATGGTGGTTGGAGATGGAGGAGAACGTGAGAGGGATGAGCTGCCTACGCCGTCGTAGGTGCTTGGAAATGCTGGAGGCCGTTGCAAAAGATCGTCGGTGGAGGGTTATTTGCCGGAAAAACGCGGGAGGGAGAGGGGGAAGCCGACACTAACGGAAAAGCAGAGGCGTTGGGGGGAAGGGTAACCGACTTCTGATATTCTGATGCAAATTCTATAAAATAAATAATACGTGAATTAGGGTTTCATGAGAAGTGACTAATCATATTTTGTATCTATAAAATAAAGTATAGTAGAATGATGTTTATGTATTAAACACTAAAAAGTCACGTTTTTACAAAATCAACATGTTTGTTCATATCATAAAACATAATATGATGATTTTTTTATTAATCTCGATATCCAACCCGCTATGCATGTCGACTAATTCCAGAACAATCACCTGCATAATATGGTGATGTTTTAAAACTAAAACATATAGAAGTTACCTCGAAGTATTGAATCTTAGCTTGATTTCACCATCACAATTCGTTCTAGGGAGTGTATGTGCTGGTAACGTGTAAATTGAAGAGAATGAAAGTTGTAAATTTTTATTAGTCAATAAACCCTTTAAATTGGGAGGATTACAGATATCACGATAAGAAAGAAAATAATATTTACTTCATAAATAACTCTAATAGTTTATATTCATCTCTACAAGAATGTGAGAAGTTTTAATATTATATATAATTACATACATGATACACAAAGTTAATCATATATGATTAAATACATGTTGCATTGATAGCATATATACGCTCAATCAATGGATAGGACCAACTACATAAGTGTAGAGTGTTCTGTTGTTAACCAAATTTATGATATTAACTTTGTAACCTCATCACAATAATTCATTTTGTGAATCAATGGATGACAATTATGATAACACTTTTGTAATAATTATAATGATATAATACATTATTACCTAAAGATGAACATATATGAACAAGAATATTAAAAGAAAAAAATTCATAAAGTTTGTAACTACCCATTAATGATATTAAATTAATGTTCATATGAACATTAATCCATTATCATTATTAAAAAATATCCATCATTATAAACATTAATATACACACAGACATTTTCCCCTTTATGAATATGAGTTCACTTATGAACAATGTAATTATATTCATTAATATTTGAACAATGTTCAGTTGATTATTCCATCTTTTTATATATTAACAGACAATTAACATTCTATACTTATGAAAAAAAAACTACTTCACGTAGCATTTAAAAAAATTGAAGACTTTTTTTTTTTACCTTTTTTTTGTAAATGACTAAAAATCCTATAATTTTAAATACTTTAAATTATCAAATAATTTTTTAATTAATAATTAATTTATTTATTTTATCTATTTTATTGGTAACCAGAGTTATAAAAGTCCATAAAAATGGATTTAAGTTTTTGTTTGATTTAGATATGAGTTAACAAATCCATGTTATCCAAAAGGACTCCACGTGGCAGGACGTGAATCAGATTGAAGATCTATATTATCCTCCGATCCTCCACGTGGCAGGATTCTATTGCACATTATGAAATCCAGCTATCCTCCTCATCACATTCACACCATATGATCAAAACTCCCAAACCCACTACCATCATCACCACCACCACCACCACCAAATTATCCATTTCTGCATCACAACAATGGCAGCAGCAACCTCCGCCGTCGTCGGCTTGGCCACCTCCTCCCTCTCCTCCCTCAACCGCCGCCAAACCACCTTATCTTCAGGTTAACTCTTATCTTCAATTTTTTTTAAGTAAATAATATTTATATATAACAAATACAAACCCTTGATTTTTTAGAAGACTGAGTTCTATGGGTAACTTGTTGGGTCAACGACCATTTGATCATATCGATCTTTCATACCCTTGATCTTCACCGACCATACCCGCTATGCGAGCCGACTAATCCCAGAACGACTACCTGCTTTGCAGATAGTCCGAAGTCACCGCATTTGAATCTTTGTGACCACAAGAAGATTTTTATTCCTCTTTGAATTTGAACTTAAGACCTCCTGGTACTTTTGACATTTGGAGCCAAGCTTTAGCCTTTTTCTCAGCCCTTTTCCGAGCTGCATCTAACAGTTGTTTTTTGTAGGGATTTTATAAAAAAAAAATTATGAATTTAAACATGTAATTAATCTTAGTTTTATGTGATTGCATTTCAGCCTTCTTGAAATCCCCAGTAACATCAAGGAACCCTTTAAGAGTTTCACAAGCTTCAGGAGGCAAGTATACATGGTAATCCCTAGCTGGATAGCTCCACCTCAAATTAGATTTTCAATTGCTTGTTTAATAAGCTATTAATTAACACAGCTTATTGGATTGATATGTATAAATCAGTAGCTTTCAAAGAGACTGGCTACGTAAAGACTTGAACGTGATCGGGTTTGGGTTAATCGGGTGGCTTGCACCTTCGAGCATCCCAGCAATAAACGGTGATAGCTTGACGGGCCTCTTCTTCGGGAGCATCGGAACCGAACTTGCTCACTTCCCCACTCCTCCGGCTCTTACTTCTCCCTTTTGGTCAGTTAAAATCTTGAAACCCTAAACCCCAAACCCTAAATTATCGGTACATCTAAAACTTTTACATGTAGATAAATTATTGAAATTTTAGTGCCTATTTTGTGTATAGGTTGTGGTTGGTGACGTGGCATTTGGGACTATTTATATGCCTGACTTTTGGGCAAATTGGTTTCAAAGGGAGGACTGAAGATTACTTTGAGAAGTAGAGTTGGATGTGTGTAAATTTCTATTTTAAGTCCCTGATCTTTGTTGTTTGTGTCTAAATACGCCTCTTGAAATCGTATCTAATCTTTCCTTATGTTGTAATATAAGCCTTGTTGTTCTACTAAAGTTATTATAATTGCTGTTTTCAAAAACCCAATGTTAAATGTGGTCATTTAGGCTATGTTGGTTGGGGTTGTTTAAGGGTTGGGTTGATCGGGTTGAAGACATTTGAACAACCCAATTTATTATTTGCGATTTGAAATTTTTTAGCATAACCCAACTCAATGCTTGTGGTTTGAAAATTTTTAACTCAACCCAACCCAAACCATACGGGTTGTGGGGTTGGTTGGGTTCATACTTTGGTACATTAAAATATTCTTCTAACCTTGAATATGTTATTTCTCTACTCATAATTTATTTTTCATCATCAACCATTTGATACAACTTATACATACTTTTTAAATTTATGTATATCACATTCAATTAATTTTTTCAATTTACATATATATGTTCATAGTTACTAAACATATATACGAATGAGTTATATAGAGATAAAGAATAGACTGAAAATATGTGTATACGAAGAGAGTACGTAATAGTGTAATTGTCTAATATATATATATATATATATATATATATATATATATATATATATATTTTAATAGAAACTCAACAATCATATTAAATCTAAGAAATACAAGGATATCGGGTACATCGGGTTGGGTTGGATTCAAATAATAGTAACCCAATTTCAACCTAATACCTATAGTTTGAAAATTTTACAATTCAATTAGACATCGGGTTGAGCTATTTCATGTTGGGTTGGTCGGGTTTTTGAGCACCCATAATGTTGGCAAACTAATTGGTAGTTGATAAACTATATGTTAGCTTATAAGCTAGCTGATAAATAAATCATGTTTGACAAAACTAACTGATGAGAATATAAAATGACCAAAAATGGTATTTTGAAAAATTAATCAATTATAAATTTCAATATAATTGAAACAAATCTCTAATAATACAATATATTAACTAATACAAAAAAGATGGTAAAAAAATTAAATAATAAAACATGTTGATTAAAATGATTTCAAATTGATTATTATATATACTATCTTATTAAGTAAATTTACCAAAAGTCTTAAAGTCTTAAAATATTAAATGTCCAAGATACCCTTTATACTACCCTTAAGTCATTTTTTCACTTTTTCATTTTTTCACTTTTTCAACCCCTCCTCTCTCACATACACTCACCCTCTCACATACACTCACCCTCTCAAAACCGATTTTTTTAAAATTATAATTTTAAATTTATATTTTATACCCCTATAATTAGTTAATTAATTTACTTTACGTTCTTTACTTTTAAATGTTTCATTTTAA